GTGCATTCTTCCAATAAATGTCTAGCAGAGAACAAACATATAAACTGTATTGAATCTTTCCAGGAACGAGACCCTAGCTCGAAAAAAATTTAAAAAAGGGATAAAATCACAGTACCTAGACGAGCGACGCGAGGGCTGGAGAACAAGCGAGACGAGCGACGCGAGCGAGGCGATGCGAGAAAGTTTAGGGTTTGGATTCGGCGATTAATCCCCGAAGAATTTGAGATGCCGCACTTGAAATGGTGGAAAACCCTCGTCCGATTAAACGCGATTTTTCTTGGGCGATTTGATGTTCTTCAAAATTGAGGTCGAGATCTGATGGTGTTCTTCTTCAAAAGAGGATAGTCGAGCTTTGAGGGTTTCTTTGCAGATGAAAATGAAATGAAATTCGTGAAAATACAAAAAGTTAACTGATGTGGTTCCTACGTGTAAATGACGTGGACACAGCTTAAAATGTTGAGTGTCATGTCAGATTAATCCGGCGCCAATACAGATATCCGATTGGCCATGTCAGCTCATGTGGCCGGGAAAAATTATTGAGACACAATTGCAACGAATTAGAAAGGTTCAGATTTTATCTGCAAAATGAAAAAAGTTGAGTTTATTTTGCAATTGAGTAAAATGTTAGGGTTTTAATGGCAATTAACTCTTATTATTATTATTATTATTATTATTATTATTATTATTATTATTATTATTATAATTATTATTATTATTACTACTACTACCTGTGAGAGATTGTAAATTGTGCTCAATTTGACGGCAGGCCATAACAGCTTCAACAGCATGTACCCTCACATGTTGCTGCAGCTGCTCTCTAAACGAGCATAAAACTAGCAAGTATTGTCCCTGTTTCACAAATAAAAAATAAAAAAATAAAAATAAAATTATGCTTAATATACTTAAAAATATAAAATATAATTATGTTTATTAAATTCTTTTGTTATTTTAAAATATTAAGTACATAAAACTTGCATTACTATTTTATATAATTTATATTTATAAAAATAGATATATAATTTTTTTTTATGTCAAACTAAGATTATGTTAATTTGTTATATTATATATATACGAAAAGATAATAACAAATAAAAAGATTATTAAATTTAAAAAAAAATATTATATACAAACATGAATAGTAGTTATTTAATTATGGCCAAATTGCAAAAACTAGCCAGTAACTTAGACGGTTTGGCAATTTTAGCCACCTTCTTTTCATTTTGGTAATAGTAGCCAAAATATTTTAAAAATTCGGTCTTTCTACCCTAATCCGGCCGAAGTCGTCGGAACTCCGCCTGAGATCACCGTAAAAGCCAGCTGGAACTACACGTGGACAACTTAATCCACCTCAGCTCACTTGTCTATAAATACACCCTCCACGCGTATCACCTTCACAATTCACAGAAAAAATTGGGGAAAAATCGGGTCAAGTTCGAACCCTAAAATCGCACAGATTGGACTCTGCACAGCACCACCGAGTTGCCGTCCAGCTCGAGCGTGACCTCGACATCTCCTCGCCGCCGCCTGCGGCGTTCTTCCTCAGGTCGTTGAGGTAGACCGACAACATTGCTCCCCCAGGCGCTGGCGGAAACTCGCAGCAGAAGCCGCTGCTCCTGAACGACGGCGTTTTCAAGAAAACCACCACAATTTGTCCGGCCAGATTTGAACGCGAAACGAGAATTTCAGTCCGACTGCACTCAATCACCGATCAATCTGCCTCTTAACTATCCCCAAATTTAAGGAATCGTCCGAGAAAAATCGAATCTAAAAATAAAAATCAAAATCAAAGAAGAGGAAGACGAAATTTGGCTTGAATCACAAGCTTCGCCTCCTAACCGAATTCATCTGTGTATGTGCACGCAATTTTCAACGTATTTTTTATCACTGCCCAGTCGTGCCTACACGGGGTGGGTGTCTGCGCGATTTTAGGGTTCGAAATTTTTCCCCAAATTTTTCTATGAAATGGATAGTTTTACCTTTTTTTTTTTTTTTTTATAAATAGCTTTATTGTTTTTAATCGATTTTTAATTATGATAATACATGAAGGTGACGCGTGGAAGGTGAATTATAGAAGAGTGAGTTGAGGTGGATTAAGCGTCCACGTGTAGTTCCACGCTGGCTTTTTCGGTGTTCTCAGGCGGAGTTCCGACGATTTCGGCCGGATTTGGGTAGAAAGACCGAATTTTTAAAATATTTTGGCTACTATTGCCAAAATGAAAAGAAGGTGGCTAAAATTGCCAGCCCGTCTAAGTTATTGGCTAGTTTTTGCGATTTGGCTTTTAATTATTTATGTGTTAATCAATCATCGTCACCCCTAATTAAAAGAATATTAAAAAAAATACAAGTATACCGTACCAAGAAGTTGTCCAGCTCTTGCCTTTCATGCGGCGGAATCGAAAGAGCGGACGTGGTGAGATTGCGCCAGCTGGGCGTCGATGAGTGGAAGCTGGTCGATGGGCGTGGCGACGCGTAGGCATGCCGCGTGTGCCTACAAAAGCTGCTCGTACATCGGGTGGGTGATGATCTCCGCCTTAATCTGGTGGCTCGTCTCGCCCGACACTGCCACGTCATTTATTCGGCCTCCCGAGCTCATCATGTTTAGTGCTTGGTCCTCCATGTATACATACAATACTTGGAAAAGGGAAGGGGTTTTCTTTTGGTTTTAGATGTTACAAAATTATTTGTCTCTATATTATATATGTTTAGATACATAGATACCACCCAAATTATTATATAGTGGATAGGTCTACTTTTTTTTTTTTCCTTTAATGTGTCACATATGCATCAAATTATATATATTTATAATTGTATATATTATGATAATTATTTAGCAATTTATTAATTTAGTGGTATTATTTATTTGATGAGTTTATATTTAATATTGCTATATTGATGTATATATAATGCGATCGATGTGTAAGTGTATCTCAGTCTAACACACACACACATCTATATATATATGCGCTATTCAAATAAAAAATAAGTTTTGGTATGACAACTGTATTTGATGCTATTTTTAATTTTGTATGATGATACTTTTAGTGTTACATGGTGCTATCATCTTCAAAAACGCTAAAATAAATTGTGTATGCTATCATTTTTAATTGAACTTTTATTTTATTTTTTTACTCTATTATGCATATTTTCTCATTTAACTCTATTATCTATAAATATATATATATATATGTATATATGTGTGTGTGTGTGTGTACAAACATTAATGGATGTTTAGGGCTTTTAATTTTCTAGAAACCACATGACATATGGTTCAATGACACAAAACTTTCTGTACCTACTCAGCAGATACCTTGACAGTTTACACAAACAGAGCAAAACAAAATATATTCATATATGTACATAATAACAATAAATTGTGGAAAACAATATGGAATCTTGAAATTAAATAAAAAAAAAAAAGATATATTATTGATAAAGATATATGATCAATAGCCTCAAATTCCAATAAATTATGTAATATAATTGACCCCAGTTAAGCTTTTCCATCTTATGCAAGTGTGACAATAATATTTGGGATTTTTTTTTTATTTTTTTTTTTTCTCATTTTTAGCATATTTTGCTCGTTGTTTATGAGATTGTAAAAGTTAATGTATAATTTGGTCGTTTAATTACCTTATATTCTATAGTTTTTTTTTTTACCTAAATAAAATTTGTTGCTTCTCTAAATTTTAGCACAAAACTTATTTTTCTAGTTAATAAGACTAGCGTTACACAGATCTAACAGTTAGACAACTATCATTTTTTTTATCAGATCGACATATTTTTGAAAGAAAACATCATATACTCTAGAAAACAATATATATAAATAAAAGTATGACATTTTATAATATATGCTACATTTTTTGTTAAATAAAGTATGACGGCTCGACTCCATATATAACATTAGCCAGCTAGCTTCATACAATTTAATTGTATATTTATTGTAGTGTAATAGGGACTTGATCAAAATAGAATTATTATGTTCATTATCTTCATATTTACTTCTTTTTGGTAAGATTGGAGGTTGCAGTTATCTTAAGTTCACCATTTGATGAGATAATTTGTTCAATTATTGGAGATGTTTAGTAGCCCCGCTCACTTGCCCACGGTGGGCAGTGCCCACCACTTTGTTTTATATGAAAAACGTATTCTGAGAATACGTTTTTCAATTAATTAGAATACGTTTTTCAATTAAAATAAAGTGGTGGGCACTGCCCATGCCGTGAACAGGGGATCAAAATTTAGATGTTTAGATGCCAAAATCAAACTAACTTATCAATAGGATTATATATTGATTGCTATTAATATAAATCAGACCTATCGATGAAGACATTTCGATTGCATAAGGATGATCAGCACTTAGAAGTCATTTTCAAAATTTTGTATTCAATATTTCTATGCCTTACCGTATGTTATCAAGATTAAGTGGGAAATACTACAGACTAGTCTTGTTACGGAACTATTTCATCGGGATTTGTAATCGTTAGATCATCATGTAATCGTCGTGGATAGTTGATCTAACGATTACAAATTCCGACAGAATTATTCTGTAACGGGACCGTAGAATCTCCCAGATCAATCAAGTATGACTCCTTAGTTACATACACGCTCCAATATTATTCATACTTAGATTTTCATGAGAAATTTCAATGTATATATCAATTGGAAGCCTAAAGAGAGATTTAATCATATTCGGTATACATTAAACTATATCAAGTTGATGCAAATTATCCCTAAAACAAACACCTAATGAATATTATATATAAATAAAAGATATTATTCAAATGCAAAAATTAGTAAGTGCCCAAAATGTGGCGCCCCTTGCAACTAACTTAACGGCCAAAGTCCAAATCCTATATATTTCTCTTAGATCATCACAAAAATCCCTCTGGCTCCCCGCTTTCTTCTTCTTCCTCCATTCCCCACCACAACTTCTCTCTCTCTCTCTCTCTCTCTCTCTCTCTCTCTCTCTCTCTCTCTCTCTCTCTCTCTCTCAAATCCCAATGCACAGCCTAAAGCTCCACCTCACCCCACTCACCCACCCGACGTCTCTCCTCCGGGACCGTCACCGCGAGTGGTGGCACCAAATACTCGACCCGAGCAGCCATGTCGTCAACCGTTGGAACCGCGTCTTCTTCGTCACGTCTCTCATTGCCCTTTTCGTCGACCCTCTCTTCTTCTACCTCCTCGGCTTCCGAGCCGACCGACATTGCCTCACCATGGACTTCGCGTGGGCCGGGTTCCTCGTCACCACCCGCACCATCATCGACCTCTTCTCCGCACTCCACATCATCATTAAATTCCGCACCGCCTATGTGGCGCCCACCTCTCGAGTCTTCGGAAGGGGCGACCTCGTCAAGGACCCCTACAAAATCGCCGTTCGATATTTGAAGGGCGATTTCGCCATCGATCTTGCCGCCGCCCTTCCCTTGCCTCAGGTACGTGCTAATCTTTTAGTTTTTTTCCCCGAAAATGATGCATGGTAGTCGAAACGCCAAAACGACACTACAGTACCGTATTCCAACGAAAAACCTTACGGTGAAATATTCCAATTGGTATTTCCACGTGTGACTTCCATTGGAATGAATTTTTCATATTTAAGTTGGAGTTTGAGGATTCCAATTGTCATATTTCCAACGAGTTTTTGCTGTAGGAATTTTCGTTGGGATATTTATTTCAAGCCAACGAAAATTCTAATGGAAAACATATTCCAACAACATAATATTTTTGTCATATTTTTTTGAAATATATTTCCGTTGGTTTTTTATCATTTCTTGTAGTGCAGACATTTATATATGGTTTTCCGTGTTGTCTGAGGTCAAATTTACAGATTCCTTATAAAACAAAATGATTAAAAGTCTTGTTAAATGAAACGAGCTGCTCGTGAGCTCGGCTCGACTTGTCCGATAAATGAATGGAGCTCGAGCTCGTTTAATTAATCTTGAAAATATGATTTTTTATATTTCGACTTGCTAATGCTCGAGCTCACCTCATTAATATTGATCAATGAGCCGAGCTTAAGCTCAATTACTGGCACGCTAAATACGAGTTCGAGCTCGGCTCGGCTCGTTTACACCTCTCTTAAAAAAGAGCAGTAAATCCATAGTTTTGTTTTGACAGTGTGTAGCATGGGGAGTTATGCCATTCACGAAGTCGAACACGAGCACGAACGTGAATCACGCCATTTCCTTACTCATCATCCTTCAATACATCCCGCGGCTCATCGTCATATTCCCTCTCAACTGGCGTATCATAAAGAACACGGGCGTCGTGGCAAAAACCGCATGGACCGGGGCAGCATACAACCTCATTCTCTACTTGTTAGCAAGTCATGTAAAGATATATCTCAACTTCCCTCCCATATTTTTTTAGAAAGGTTAATTCACTTACTCGTTTTTTCATCGGCAGGTTTTGGGATCCGTGTGGTACTTGATGTCTGTGGAGCGAATCTTTTCGTGCTGGAAGCACGAATGCAGGCACGAAAGAGGAGCCGTTACTTGCCGGATAAGGTATCTCGACTGTGACTCGTCGGGCCTTGAATACGAGAGGTGGTATAACAACACCGAGGTCTTCAACGGATGTGATGGAAAAGGAAACAATTTCGATTTCGGGCTGTTTGCGGATGCACTTAACGACGAAGTTCCTTCGGCGAATTTGATCGAGAAATATTTCTATTGTTTGTGGTTCGGTTTGAGAAGTCTAAGGTAAGGTTTAATTAGCTCCTCATTAACAAAAGATCACTAAAAGTGTACTTATACATAATCTTTACTTGAAAAAGCTCGTTCCATTTTCCGCTTTTGTTGTAGCTCGTACGGGCAGAGTCTCTCTGCAAGTGCTTACGTAGTCGAGACTGTCTTCGGTATTCTCATATGTCTCATGGGACTCGTTTTCTTCGCGCTTCTCATCGGCAACGTGCAGGTATACGTATATATCACTATTTTTCGATTTTAATGTAAGGCAAAAAAAGTGACTTGTATTCTTTCACAGACCTATCTACAATCCACGACTGCAAGACTCGAAGAATGGCGCGTGAGGAGAAGAGACACCGAGGAATGGATGAGACATCGGCAACTTCCCCCCGAACTACAAGAACGCGTTCGCCGATTCGTGCAGTACAATTGGCTCTCGACGAGAGGAGTTAAAGAAGAAGACATTCTCCAAGCTCTTCCTCTCGACTTACGCCGTGAGATTCAAAAGCATCTTTGTCTTGATCTCGTTCGTCGTGTAAGCTCCGAAGAATCTTAGATTTACCGCTATTCCTTTTTTTTTCTTCATGATTTTCGGATTTTTTTTTGTAGGTCCCTTTCTTCTCGCAAATGGACGAGCAACTTCTCGACGCGATATGCGAGCGTTTGGTCCCGTCCCTCAACACGAAAGGCACATACGTTGTTCGAGAAGGTGACCCGGTTAACGAGATGCTCTTTGTTATCCGTGGCCAGCTCGAGAGCTCGACGACCGACGGTGGCCGATCGGGATTCTACAATTCGATCACACTAAAACCGGGGGATTTTTGCGGGGAGGAGCTGCTCACGTGGGCCCTACTCGTGACGGCATCGAACCTCAACCGGCCGGCGTCCACGCGGACCGTTCGGTGCCTCACGGAAGTCGAGGCTTTCGCATTGCTAGCGGATGACCTGAGGTTCTTCGCGAATCAGTTCAAGCGGCTGCACAGCAAGACTTTGCAGCACGCGTTTAGATATTATTCGCACCAGTGGAGGACTTGGGGTGCGTGTATTGTACAGGCGGCGTGGAGGAGGCACAGGAGGCGGCGGGTGGCGGAGGAGCTGCTCAGACACGAGAGCATGTCGATGATGATTAATCGGATGAGCTCGTCGGATGATGATGAGGATGATGATGATGAGGATCTTTCGGAGAGAAGCTTGATGGGGACTCTTTTGGCTTCCAAATTTGCGGCTAATACGAAGAAAGGGGTGGGGGGCGGCGGGAAGGTTAGGTTCGTGGAGGGAGGGGAGTCGAGCTTGAGGATGCCGAAGCTATTTAAGCCCGACGAGCCGGATTTCTGACTGAGAAGAGTTTTTTTTTTTT